TCTAGCATTTAAATCTTTGACTTTTACAGAAAATATTTAGGATAAAATAATCATAATAACGATAGCAAAAATAAAAAAATAATATTAATGATGTCTTGTTGACGGAATTATTTCTTTATCGTCTTCAGTTTTCTTTTTTTTTTTTTTCCAAAGAAATAGCAGAAAATAATAGCAGAAAATCAAATTTTCATATCATTTACATTTTCGTATTTTCATTTTGAATTGCCATTGATTCTATTCGACATGCTTCTTCCATTCGTTGCAGAATTAATTGAATGACAGTTTTATAAATTACATCCATGTTATCCGTGTAACGTTCACCAAGGATTAGTTTTACTGAATATAGAAATGGATCTTTCATTTCCTAAAAATTTTACCTTTTTTTTTTGAAAAATAAATTCATGATGTAATCATGTGAAAAATTAGATGCCATCTTCCGGATTCTGGATTATGCAAAGCAGCAATTATTACGTAACTTAATTGTAACAATTCCTATAATTTATTGCACATGCACTCGAACAAACTCGAAAAAAAGATTATTTAAAAAAAAAAAAAGTTGAATCTGATTTCTGCAAACGAACTTTTGCTTAAAAGTTTCAAAAAGAAAAATCTTTACCCAAACAGAGAAAATAACTTACCCAGAACATTTCCGCTTTAAATGCTCCTCTATGAGCGTGTTGTCTTCCGTTATTTTCAAGTAGCATGAAAAATTCATTTGCATTTTCAATTTGACTGCAAAATTTTTAATTTCAATTTCAAATATATTCATCTTTACATATCACTCAAATTTTCCTAATAATAATATGTAAATTAGATGAAAAAGATACCATTTTGAAATTTTCAGATATTGTTGCTAGCAAATTTTAATTAAGCAGAGCAATTAGTAACTTAAATTAGAATTATATGACAAAAACAACAGGGTACATTTTTTTAATAATTAGAACTGTTTAATAATTAGAAAGTATTATTTATATAATCTATCTAACATTATATTGACTGAATACGTTTATGCATTTAATGAATTTATGAAAAACTAATTGATAAAAATATTACCTGATTGCTTTTCCAATAAATTTCATGACAGCAGCGCCATGAGCTCGTAAGCGCTCATCACTTACTTGATTTTCTTTTGCTTCATTGGCAATATTTCGAAATTTAAAAAACTCATAATATTCCGGATGTTGTGTTAGCATCCTGCACAAAAAAAATCAAAAATTTTTTCCAATATTTAACTAAAATAACTGAAAAATAAATTCACCAGTAGGAAATGCTTCTGTAACAAATAATTCTGACCATTCTGACCATTAATCCTCATCCGAACATTTGCTTTTTTCATTCTTGAAATTGATTTGATTTCAAGTCAAATAATTGAGTGATGATTAACTAAATATTAAATAGTGCTGGAATCAAATTATTTAATTGGAAAGAATAACAAATAATAAAATTTACTTCAGGAACATTTCAATACCAGCAGTTGTCACATCGCGTTCAATACCTTTCCAATTTTTGATTAGAATAAATTTTTGCTTCCTAGTCAGTGGTATTCGATTATCAATTAGTTCATCACTAGTCGATTTAATATTTGATTTATGATACTGATCGGATACATTTACCGGAATTCTCTTCCGACCGAGACATGAACAATTCATCCAGTTCTTGTATATGTTACCAATTTTCTAGATCAATTATGGTGTATGATATGTGAATTAGTAAATTTAATGATAAAAATAGAAGTTCGAAATGTATGTTAAAATTTTAAAATCTAAGATGTATTTCTAAAATAGATGGACATTTTCTTCTTTTGCAAAACATTAATAGAAAAGAATTTGTTATAGAAATATTATCAAAATGGACAAAAAGAAAGTAAAAGGAAAGTTATTGCAAAAGAAGAAGAAGAAGAGAAATTCATGGCACTTATTATAATTGGATCATTCAATATCCCGTATATTTTATCGTTTTTCGTTTAAAAAAACAAAAGTAAATGGCACAATGCTAAGCTATTAAAAAGGAGGAAGGAATTGCTGTTATCATTTATAAACCAACAAAAAACGATCATATTTTCGTTACTTTATCAGTTTGATTAATCACTTTTGCATTATTTCATTTCCATTAATTTCAATATACTATCGTATAACAAATTTTTAAATAAAGAAGAGGAAGAAAAAAAAAACAGGCAAATGATCATTTATCATGCTAAATTAAAAAACTTTTATCATTCTAAATTAAAAAACTTATTTTAAAAAATGAGGAAAAAAGCGAAAATTATTTCGAATGTATTTGAAAATATATGTAAAAAAATCTTTTATCATTTCATCTTATTTGGCAAAAAGAGAGTGATAACCAAATGATTAGCATAATTGCATTTTATTGTAAGTTAATTTATATGAGATAAAGAAAGGGAAAAAAGTTCAAAACTTTCGATTCCTTATCACTAATTATTATGAAAAAGACAAAAAGCGAAAACAATGAATGGAATTGTTTTCATCCTACTGATTTATTTCTTGAAATTTTTCTCCTAAAAATTATTTTTTATATCATTATAAATGCAGATGAAGTAGTGAAACTAAATGACCGTATAAAATTTTGTCTTTTTAAAATTGAAAAAAAAAAAAAATTCAAAATTAAAAAAAAGCACAAACTATTGCAAATGGCGTTAATTGATAATGAACATTTTCAACATTAATAGAACTACGAATTATGTCAGAAAATATGTCGATTATCACTTTTTTTAAAAACTTTTTTCTTGAAATTACTTTTTTTTGTTTTTATTCTCTCTTTCTCTTTTTTATTATCATTCAATGAATTAAATCATTCATTAATAATATAAATTACATCATACCTTAATTTTTATTGTTATTGCTATTTTTACTCATGAAATCATTCATTCTTGTTTACCTCATCTTTATCAGGTTATCATTTTTTTAATATAAAAATAGTAATTTCTAAATAAAAAAGCAAAAACAAAAGTTTAGTTAAAAAAATTGTTTTAAAATGTTTTTTATCACTTTTATACGCAAAAAAAAGGAATACAGAAAGGAAAATAAAAATTAAATTTTGTTTCAGATGCCAAGCAAGCGGCAAATATTCCATTTTTATGTTTTCATAAAAAATAGTATGGAAAAAAAAATGAAGGTATTTCACTCAACTGTTTCCGCTTAGTTATGAGTGAGGTATGAATTATTTTTCAAATTTTGTGCAAGAAAGAAAAATATAAAGTACAAATTTAAAAAAATGAATTTATTCTAATTTTAGAATACTACTAATTTCAATTTCTTTTTTCGTTTTCAATGAATGTTGCACGATATTACAAGAAACAATGTTACTTACTCAAGAAATAATTTATTAAAAAAATGAATTAGCATTGTTTCTTGTAATATCGTGCAATATTCACTGAAAACGAAAAAAGAAAATTAGAATTAAAAAAAATTAAAAATGAAAATTAAAATTAAAATTAGAAAGAAAAGAAAGCATTTTCAGCAAGGTCAAGAAATTCTTGTGTTACCGTTCGAAATTTCATAAATCTCTTTCCCTTTTCTCATCTTTTATTTTAAAATAAGGAAAAGAAATAAGTGAGATTTATGACAAGAAATTTTAATCTCTTGTTACGTACGTATGTATTGTTGCTGTATTTTATCTTACTATATATTGAGAATTAATATATTGAAAATTTGAAAAGAAATTTATTGAGTAAGAAAATCGAAAGTTTTTTTTTTTTAGCATTACAAATGGTTTAATGAAATAAAAACGCTTAGTGCGGTTTTTGCTTGAAATCTTCAAATTTTCATACATTAAGTGGAAAATCTGGTAATCCTTCTGTTAAATCATAAAGTCATGCAAATAGAATGCACCAAAAATAGTGAAAAAATGGATAAATCGATTTTACATTTTTATACTATTAGATGAGATATAAATCAAATTCGATCATTTACATCTCATTTAACAATTTAAAAAAAAAAAGAAAAAAAAGCTAGAATTGTTGAAAAATTGTAACATATCATAGCGTGCAGAACAAAATCATCCAAATATCAATATGAAAAATTTCATATTTTAATTAAAATAATATTGCTATAAAAAAAAAAATTGTTCAAGAAAACGGTAATGCTGATGAACAAAATGTAATGAAAAAAAAAAAGAGAAGACATAAAAATACCACAGTTAATTTGAAAAACAATATGTTCAGTCATATTAATATATGTTTCTAAGCCATCTAATTTTAAAAATATAACTTGAAAAAGAACAAGAATTATTTAACTTGAAAAAAATTTAACTTGAAAAAAAAAAACAAGGATCATTTTAATGATAATGTGGCAGACAGAGGAATTATCGAGATTAATGTCGCACTTCTTATTGCTGCAAAAAAAAATGTAGAAAAATGAAAAGAAAAATAAAAGTAGGAAAAAAGAAAATCTTTATTTTGAAAATCTTTATTTTGAAAATTTTATTTTTATGCTAATATTCCTGTAAAATACTATTTTTAAATCAAATTATTTATGAATATAAATTTAAAAATTGTATCATTGATAAAGAAGGATAAGATATAATTCTTATGTTTGGTGGGATTTTTTTACCAAATTTGTTGGAAAAAAGTAAAATTTTTATTAATATAGTTATTATGCTTGATGAAATTTCAAAAGTCCCAAAGTTATAAAAAGAAAAGAAATAATCATAAATTTTTTACATAAATTAATTACATTTGTTTGATTTGAAAAGAAAATGTACCATTGTTGAAGACGATGATATGGAACAAAAATGATGATGATGAAGTGTTTTGCTAATTGATTAGGGAGAAATTTAAATTTGAAAGGAAAATTTTAATTTAAACGAGGAGAAAAAGTTAAAAAATTTTTCTTTGCAACAGTTAGCTTATGAAATGAATATTTTTTAGTATTTCTTTATTCCCTGTTTATATTTAAAATCCGTTACATATTTCAACTTCCTTTCACACATATCTGAGCAAATAATTTGTTTACAATGTAAATAATGAAATTTGTAAAAAAATATTGAAGAAATTAAATTTTTTTAACGGTCAATTTCGTTATTTAGTTATGATTCGATCAAAGTGGATACATAAACATATAAAGATGTATGTAAGCAAATTCTTTTGCTACATCAAAAAAAATTTAGTTATCAGATTTTTTGTTTGTTTGTTTGTTTAGATATGTCATTTGGATTTATGATCATATTTTATTTATAGATTTATAGGTGTCAAGAGGAATGTAATGTTATCTATTTCAAAGATCTAAATATCATAGCTAGCAAAAATGGCATTTTTCCACCGCTATCTGGTAAAATATCAACATAAAGTTTAAAACAACTGAAAAAAAAATAGTTCCAATAGTTCGAAAATTTAAAATAATTCAAGAACATATCTTTATAAAAAAAAAAAACAAGATTATTTTTTACGGTACTACTAATTTCTTGCCACGAATGCTTCTTCCAATTGCAAATTTGCTTTGCTTTAATTTTATTTATTTATTCGTTTATTTTTGTTCGGTTTTGATTCAATTTTTTCACTGCTGCACGTTTTCTTTTTTCTTCTCTACAAATTTTGATGTAAATAACAACAAGAAAGAAAAGAAAAAGAATGCCTAAAAAAGGAATTTTTTAATTGAAAAATTACTAACAGAATAGAACGAATGAATGATAAATTTGTCGTTTTTATTCTTTTCTAATGCAATTGTGATTAGTTTTTTTGACAAAATTAATAAATGTTGTGTGAAGTGAAAAAAAATCATTAAAATGCATGTGGAATGTTCAAAATAAAAAAATCAATATATATTCTTTAACGTAATTGAAGCGTTGTATCATAAAATAAAATTTTATTTGTGAACGCTAATTGCACGTATTAAAAAAAATATGTATAATAAAATGAGAAATTAATTAACAAAAATGAATTTTTACAAAAAAAAAAGGATTTGCTGAATGAAACATTAAAATTAGCAATGAGAATGATTTCTTGAGGATAAATCTAAATTCATTTGAAATCATACCTACGTTGAAGTAATATGCAATATAATGTGGTAGCAAAAAAGTCATTAATTTCTAGCTTTCGAAATTAAGTTATTCTATTTTATAGGATGAATGTATGATAATTCTAATTTGAATGAAAATGGAAATGTAATTTTAAATAATCCAAAAAGTTTTTACCGTTATCTTTTTTATCATCTTTATAGCTTTTCAATAACAGTAAAAAATATTTTCCTATTAAATTTATTACTTGGTTCATTTATATTGCCACTGATTTGAATGACATCAAATTTTTAATGAGATTCGATCTACTGACTAATTTCCACAAGCATATTTCATATCTTCAGCATCCATTCTTATCATACAGTTTATCAATGTTAATGATTGTTTCTGAAAAGAGAAAAAAAATAACCAAAACAACTTGGTTTACAGTTAATGATTGTTTTCGAGGAGAGAAAAAAATAATCAAAACAATCTAATTTGATCGTTTAGGAAAGATAGCTTATTTAATCTTCTAAAGCATAATCTGTTTGAATGTTATTTTCAAAAGAAAAATCGTCCCATATCATTTCCCCTTTTCTTCAACAATTAAACTAAACTAAAAATTTTTACAGAAAGAAAAAATGAAAAAAAAAGCAATTATAAAAGTTTATTTTATACTTTTTTTACAGTCGTAATAAAC